AAAAAAAAGAAAGAAAGAAGGAAGGAAGGAAGGAAGGAAGGAAGAAAGGAAGAAAGAAAGAAAGAAAGCATTCGTGTACTTTTAGGACTGTCAAGGGATATTCGAGAGGGACAGCATTTATCAAACCTCTAGTCAATGATCCTTTCCAGACTAGAATTCACAGAACAAAGAAAACAGGGAATAAAAGGTTGTGAAATTAACTTGCAATGAAAAGCAAGAGGAATTTCTGTTAGCAGTAACCATATTCTTTTTTTTTTTTTAAACCAAACTTTTTTTAGAGTTGTGGGGTACAAGTAAGGATTTGCTACATATATAGGCTGCATGCAGGTGAAATTTGGGCTTCCGGCAGGCCTTCACACCCCCTGGTTGTGGACCAGTTACCAACTGTGTTGCCACACGCCCGGCCTCCTCTCCTAGCAGTGCCCAGTGGCCACCGATCCCGCCCTTGTGCTAAGGTGACTAGGGTTCAGGGCCCACTTATGAGTGAGAACATGTGGTCTTCAGTTCTTTATTTCTGTGGTGGTTCACTTAGTATGATGTTAAGGCCATGATTTAACTGTTACCCCAAGTCAAAACTGTAGGAAAGTTCGACAGATGGCAGTCTTCAGTTTAAACATTTGATATGCTGGTACCTGCTTCACCCCATCTTCTGACTGTTGCAAACCTGTACTGTTTTGATATGGCAGCTACTAAATACGTGTAGCTTGTACAATTTTAATTAATTCACATTAGGAAGAGTGGGGTTTTGGGAGGTTTTGGTTAAACGACACAAAATTTCAATTAGACAAGAGGAATAAGTGCAAAGGATCTAGTATACATCATGGTGAATATAGTTAGTAATATGTTGTATGCCTGAAAATTGCTAAGAGTGATTTTAAGTGTTCTCACCACACCATAAAAAAATAAGTATATAAGGTAGTGCATATGTTAATTAGCTTGATTTACCCATCCCATAATGTATACATATATCAAAATATCATGTTTCCACACCATAAATATATTCAGCTTTACCTGTCAATTTAAAATGATAAAAATAAAGTTAAAAAAAAATAATGAATTGATCTCTTAGTCACATTAGTCATACTTTAAATATTCAACAGTCTCGTAAGACTGGTGGCTTTTGTATTGGACAACACAAATATACAACATGTCCATCCTTATAGAATATTCCATTGACTGATACGGTACTTTATCATCATCCCCATTTCTGGTGTTTTTTATTTGTTTTTGTTGTGGAGAAGTGGGATCTTGCTATGTTGCCCAGGCCGGTCTTGAACTCCTGGCCTGAAATGATCTTCCCACCTTGACCTAACAAAGTGCTGGGATACAGGTGTAAACCACCATGCCCAGTCTGCAATTCTGATATTTAGATCCCAGAAAAACTCATCCTAACACACACACACACACACACACACACACACACACACACACAGAAACCTTTAATAATACCTTATTCCAAAAGTTTAAAAAAGAAGGCCTCATCTGAACTAAAGAGAAGTGATCTGCTGTCAGCCTGGACCAAGGGTAGGGGGAGGGGACAGAGAAGGGAAGACAGAGTTGGCGAAGTCTTCACAAGCATCAGAGAAAACAGGGTGTTCCAGGGACAGATAATTGTGGATTGTTCATGCATTTGCTTTCCTCTGACTTGAGGAAATTATAAAGAACCAGTTAATTTATTCTGAGAAAGAAAAAGCTGAAGAACATTAATAAGCCATCAACCGAGACCGTGACCAATGCGTTTCTCCTTTGCTTGTGGAAGACTATTCAGACTCAAAAGGTTAAAAGCCACTGGCGTTTGTTTCAAACAGATCTTGGGAACTCTCTTTTTTGCTTTATTAGTTTGAAAAATTAGAACACACTGATTTGTATGGGATCATTGGTTGTTTGACCCAGATGAGGGTGAGAATAACTTGTTGTCCCAGAAAAGGAGAGGGTTGTCCCAGGAAAAGGGCCCCTGCAGGTGTGGGGCCTTGGACCAAGTGACTTGTACTCAGCATCTTATTTTACCCTCCACCACCCCGGGACTTGAAGGGGCCAACTTTACCATTATCACCTCCAGTTTTCTGATCAGAAAACTGGGTTTTAAAGCAGCAGGATATCTTGCCTAAACTCCTAAATGGTGGACTTGGGTTTTGAAAACTGATATTCATAGCTCTGTAGCTCATGGTTTTTCTGTCTTCTTTTTTTCTTTTTAAAGGTATGTGTTCCCTAATCCTCTCCCAAAGACAATTTCTACTCTAAATTTGGATTGTCATGCCTTTGCTTTTCATTATAGTTTTACTATGTTTGTAACCCGAAAAACCGTATTGTTGAGTTATACATCTTTTTCTACTTTACGTCAATGGCATTGCCTGTATGACTTCTTCTATAATTTGCCCTTTCACTCAGCATTGCTGAGGGTTTAGAGTATCCTGAATTTTTACACACTTCTGATGGGAATGTAAATTGGGACAATGGGCTTTGGATAACATTTGGATAATATTTACTATGAATGAAGATGGTCATTCCTAAGCACCCAGACATCTCATTTTAGTTTTATACCCCTGAGAAGCTGCTAGGATTTGTGTACGAGGAGACATACGAGAATATTCCTTGCAGAATTGTTTATGATAGCAAAAAACTAGAAACAGACCAAGTGTTTACCAACAGTAGAATGGATAAACTGTGGTGCATTCATGCTATTGAATAGATCACTGTGCTGCAAAGAAAATAAATGAACTTGACCTACGTGCATTAACCTGTATGAATCTCAGAAACACAGCAAGTCTGGGACTGTTGCCGTAACCCTGAGCCACCCCTTTCCTGACCCCAAGACCTGACAAGTCACCAGGTGCCAAGATATATTCCTATGTGATGTGATACAGCATGTAGGTGTCACCAGGAAATAAACCTCTGATAGGCTGATAGGTCGGTCATTTGCAGGAGCTGCAGCTGCTGGGTAGATATTTACCCTTGATGAGGTGTCTAAATCCTTTCCACCGGACAGCAGCAAGTCCATGAAGGAATGAGAAGTACCACTGACTAGTCTGTGCAGAGATAGGAGTTAGGGAAGATGGAAGTGGACAGTGCCTAGGGGTGGACCTAGCACGGTGCCTGTTGTTAAGTATTTGCTAAATGAGTATATTGATGAAATGAATTAAACACACTACCAGCTTACTTAGGAATACTGGTTCCCTTTCCATTCATTTGTTCATTTGTTGATTCTTTCTTCATCAAGCATGTGTTGAACACCTAATAGATGCTTAGCATTATGATGGGGTATGAGAGTGAACACTATGGTTTCTGCCCTCATATGGCTCAAATCTATAGATAGGGCCAAGGAGACACCAAGTGTGTCTGACCAAATATATAGTATTTCTGGGTATTTTAGGCAAAGGAAAAAAATATATGCAAAGAAATGGAGATATTTCAAAGCCTGCCTTGGCTTAGGGAAGAGAGAGTAGATCTGTCTGACTGCTAAAAGGTAAACGAAAATGGTGGTGCTTGGGACTGGAAGGAAGACACATAGGTGGGCCTTGTGGTATTATCTGTGTGGCATTGGAAGTTTATTCTGTGGACAGTGGGGAGTGTCTAAGCACTAGGTTTTGGGGACATCCTGGGCCTAAACAATATGGACGCTAATAAACAAATCGGTGAATTCTAATGAACAGCATACATTTACAACTCTTGTATACAAATACAATTACTTGTTACAAATTCATTGATTAAGAAGTATGTATTGCTGTTTTCACTAGGTAATGTTCTGAATAGTAATAGAAGCTTGATGTACTAAACAAGACGATAATATAATAACAGTCCAAATAACTGCAGTTTCCCTGTGACACTTCTTTTTTTTTTTTTTTTTTTTAGTAGAAATCTCTGTTACCTAGGCTGGAGTGCAGTGGCACATTCATGACTACTGCAGTCTGGATGTGCTGGACTCAGGCGATCCTTCTTTTTCAACCTTCTAAGTAGCTAGAACCTCAGGTGTACACCACCATACCCAGCTAATTTTTTGATTTATTGTAGAGGTGAGGTCTTGCCAAGTTGCCCAGGCTGGTCTTGAGCTCTTGGGCTCAGGCAATCCTCTTGCCTCTGCCTCCCAAAATGCTGGGATTATAGACGTGAGCCACCACATCTGGCTTTCCCTATGATATTTTTAATAGCTCAACATTCATTAAAGCTGTAAGCAGCTTAAAGATTCAAAATTTTGCATTTTAAATCCAAAACACTTTAAGATTTTTATCACAGGATTATACTGAGGGCCATGAATCTGTTCCAGTTTCCTTGGAAATAGCTACCTTGTTGGTTTATTTTGTTATTTTTATTTTTTATTGTTTGAGTCATAGTCTCACTCTGTTGCCCAGGCTGGAGTGCAGTGGCACATTCATGGCCACCCCAGCATTGACCTGCTGGGCTCCGGCGAGTCTTCCACCTCAGCCTTCCAAGTAACTGAAACTACAGGCATGTGCCACCACGCCCAGCTAATTTTTTGATTTATCATAAAGACCCGGTCTCACCATATTGTCCAGGCTGGTCTCGAACCTGTGGCCTCAGGCAGTACTCTCGCCTTTGCTTCCCAAAGTGCTGGGATGACAGGCTTGAGCTGCTACACCAAGCTAAACTTTTAGTCTTACTTATTTTATTTTTTTAAATTTTTTATTTTTTAAGTCAGGATCTCACCCTGTTACCCAGGCTGGAATGCATTGGCACAATCACAGCTCACTGTAGCCTTGACCTCCCAGACTCAGGTAATTCTCTCACTTCAGCCTCCTGAGTAGCAAGGACTACAGGCGTGCGCCATCATGGCTGACTAATTTTTTTAGTTTTTGTAGAGGTGTAGTATTGCTGTGTTGCCCAGCCTGGTCTCGAACTCCTGGCCCCAAGCAATTCTCCCACCTTGGCCTCCCAAAGTACTGGGATTAATGGTGTGAGCTACCATGCCCAGCCTGGTTTATTCCTTCAAAGAACTGTAGGGAAGCTTGTATAATAGAGTAGCAAGAATATGTTCTTTGGAATCGCCTAAATCTGTAATAAAATTCTATTTTTGCCTCTCCTAAGACAAGTAATTTAATTTGTCTCAAGTGATAAAGCCTCAGTTACCTCATCTAAAAAATGGAAAAAATCAGCCAGGCATGGTGGCTCATACCTATAATCTCAACATGCTGGGAGGCCAAGGAGGAAGGATCCCTTGAGCCCAGGAGCTTGAGACCAGTCTAGGCAACATAGCGAGACCTCATCTCTACAAATAATAATAATAATAAAATTTTTTTTTGGAGTTGGAGTCTCACTCTGTTACCCAGACTGGAGTGCAGTGGCCGTTCCCAGCCACTGCAACCTCGACCTGCTGGCCTCCGGTGATCCTTCCTCCTCAACCTTCCAAGTAGCTGGAACTACAGGCGCGTACCACCACACCCGGCTAGTTTTGAATTATTGTAGAGATGAGGTCTCACCAAGTTGCCCAAGCAGGTCTCGACCCCGCGGGCACAGGCAATTCACTCACCTCGGCCTCCCAAAGCGCTGGGATTACAGGCTGAGCCACCGAGCCCAGCCAATAATAAAAAATTTAAAATGGAAAAAATAAAAGCTACAGTGCAGTCGTGATGTTGAAATATACATGGATATGTTTCTTTTTCCCTCTAAACCTACTCACACATAGATAGTGATAAGGTGTGAGTTAAGCATGACACAAATTAGAGGTAGAGAGGTTACATAGGAGTGCTTTTTAGGTTTACTTTTTATGACTATAATACCATTATTTGAGAAATGTGTTTCAGGCAGATGCTCTTTTAAGTTCTTTTGCATTCATGGTTAATTTTTTTCTCTTTGAAAAAAATGAAAGATCATACAGTTTTATCTGGCTTAGATAGGCGACAGTAAATTAAATGAACATATAAGTCACATCTTGAATTAATCTTTCTCCAGAGTAATTATCGTTTCTAAAGAATTCTGTAACTGTGTCCTGAAACGGTCTGAGTTGCTCCTTCTAATCGATGTCTAACGCTGATGGTTTGTGGTTGTTCTTCCCAGTTGACCTGTTAGGCTTGTTAAATTGGCGTTCCAACGCCCAGAACATTAAACACAACCTCAAGAAGTTAATGGAGGTGGATGGAGGAGAGATCGTTAAGGTATGTTTATACATTCCATCGTTAGAAATATACCTCCTCTGTGATTAGTCCGGCATTTTGAATGAGACCATTATTATAAAACTGATCTACATTGCTCTGCAAATGTGCTGATTTTTAAGAAAATGCTATTTTTAAACCTACTCTGTGGAAACCAAGTTGTCACCGAGTTTCTGCAGTGTGGAGCTGAATGTAGTCACCCAAGTAACCTCTCTGTTTTTCTTATCTTCAGTTTTTGCAAGATACCCTAGATGCACTTTTTAACATAATGATGGAAATGTCAGACAATGAGACATACGACTTCCTTGTGTTTGATGCACTGGTAAGCAGCTCAGCATATTAACTGTTTTATTCTTGCAACTATGTAACGTTCAGTCTTTCACTATCACATGTAATTGTGATAAATAACCTCCCGCATCAGTATTTGTTTGCATCTCTCTGGTTATTTCTTTAGGCTATATTCCTAGAAGTAAAATTAGAAACAAATGACACATATCCCAGACCTTTATATCTTTGTTTCCTGTTAGAGCTCATTTTTTTGATACAGTTCCACTTTCTCATTAGAGAAAAGAAGGTGTTTTATTATGGTAGAAATCCGGAACCACTCTGACTCCCTTTTCTGTTGCCTAGTCATAAACCAGAAGGTACCATTAACAAAGATGATGTTGCATGTTGTGTGCGTGTTTGTATATTCATGCAGGGGAGCCTGAATTCTCAATTGGGGGATGAGTCTTAGTCTCATTGGGTACAGTATGCAACCCAGCAGACAACTGAAATTGTCACACAGAGTACGTAAATGTACAGCCCATTCCAAGAACTGAAGTCAGAGCAGGGAAAAGTGACATCAGAATCTAAGATGGCAAGACTGGGTAGTGGAGGGGAGGAAGCTGAAAGGTCTAAACCAGGCATCCTTTTCTTCTTGTTAAAATAAAGTTCAGGGCAGGATGTTACCTGAATGTTGCAGTTGAAGAGGAAGGAAGGTCAGTTGCAGCTTTAGGTGACTCACCAGCCTAGGGAAGTGGGCTTAGGAAGTGGTCAGGGCATTAAAGCTCAGGGTGTAAGATAAGGAGAGGAAATGCCACCTGGCTGAACTCAAACCCAGTCAGGCTCAGGTCTATGGGAAAGAGAGACTGTGGTTAGGGACCCTGTGTGACAAGGTCTGGAGACAAATTCCTGTAGGCCAGTGCGGCTGGCAATGGGTATATATGGAAACCCCAAGTGCCCTTTTCTTTGGACTCTTCTGACATAAGTAGGAGCAATCTGGGTTGTTGGTAGGTTATAGGCCTAGCAGCAATGCAAGGTAGCATAGGAGGGGAAAATTGGGAGACCAAACTCAATAAAGTTCAGTTGTTGGGGCCGCTCATACACTACCTATGGAAAAAAATGTCATGGCATGTTTTATTAGTTGCATCCTTGGACTAGAGAGAACCCCTTTGGAGCTCCCTTCCTCCTGCCCCATGTTCTTCCCTGACGTAGGTTACCTGTGCACTGGCTACCCTCTCTTTGAGATTGAGACAGTTGGCTCCCCGAGGTCAGGGACACTGGCTTGAATTGGTGTCTCCACAGCATCTAGGCTAGTGCCTGACACATGATAGTCTCGCCATCTGTGTTAAGTAAATGTAAACCCCAAGACTTGACTTCAGCGCTGGAATAGTCGCATGGGAGTGCCACAAAAATGACCAGAAGAAAAAAGAAGGCACCGAGGTGTTCAACTCCAGCTTGTTGAAAGAATTGCCTGGGGTGGTGCTGTGCTGCTATTTCTGTTTTTCGCTTTTGGCAGGTGTTTATTATTTCACTGATAGGAGACATCAAGTTCCAGCATTTTAATCCAGTACTTGAAACCTACATTTACAAGCACTTCAGTGCCACTTTGGCGTACGTGTAAGTAGGATCCAAGGGAACTGCGTGTGGTTGGACTATTGGGTTTGTCCTCGTGGGGCTGGATTGTTGAGAAACGAGAGAGGTTTGTGTCCAATAAATGTCTGTAAGTGTGGAACTTAACGCTGAGCTTCCTGGTGAGATGAGGGAACCACCTAAGTATTCTGACCCTAGAAAAGAAGTCAAGTTCAGGTCCTTCCCTATATCTCACTAAGAATCCAGAATATACAGATGAGGAGTCAGAGCTAGTTAGGAGCATAATAAGGACGGATAACCAAACTCAGGCTCTTAGGAACTGCCTGTCGGTAGGATGGGCCTGAGGCACCAAGGGGATCAAACAGTGAATTGACCAAGACCAAGCCCAGTAGAAAAAGAAGTCATGCCCTCAACCCTATGCCATATGTGCTTGGTAAAATTCATTACTTACAGGATATGAGAGGACTGAATTGTCCTGTCTTTGGCAGAAGAGAGAGTGGTCGCTACCTTTTCCATTGCGCAGGCTTCCTTCTGTCTTGGGCCTATGAGCCCCTGACTAAAGAAAGCAACTCATGTCTGTTCTGCACTTTGCCCTGGAGTGCCCAGCTCCCCATGGCATTGTCTGTGCCTGTCACCCCACCCCCTCACATTCCAGTCACTGTGCAGAGCAATATGATCAATAGCAATAGAAATGAAGCTGGATCGGTAAATGATCTTTCTGGACAGTGGCTTCTGCCAGATCAGGTCGATTGCTGCCGCTGGCCTGTCATTAGATACTCTGGCAATAGGTGTCTTTCTTGGTAGCTTCACGTTCCAAGTGGGCGGTAGCTACAAGTGAGGACGTCTTGTCACTGGATTTTAATTACACTGAGCCCTATATGGCGCTCCAGGTGGTAATTAATCTGGGTTGATTTGCAACTGTGTTTCCTTTAGATTTTTTTTTCTAATTCTGGGAAAGCTTAGAGATTCCCAGAAGGAAACTTTAAAATATCAGTACTCTCAAAAGTGCATGTTAGCACACCATCCCTAGCCCCAAAACTCTGGAAAGACAAAAGAATAAGCTGAAATTTCAGAATGGTTTTATCTGTTGAAATGTTCAGAACCATGAGTTTTAGAGAGTCAGATTGAACTCTTCTTCCTGCACTCAATGAAGTTTCCGTCTGGCTCCATATTTATGGATTCCCAAGGGTTTGGGCAGAATGGAAGGACTTAGGCTTCAACTATGGTGACTGTTTGTGGCAGGCATAATCCCTCCCTTACACAGCAACTGAAGATGTCTGTACTGCACGCCAGAGATTAAAATATTCTTCTGATTTAGATCACTTCAACACTTTCTTAACCATTCTGTGTAAACCCACGGGGGGAAAGAAACCTTCCAGAATTTCTAAGCAAAAAGGTAGCTCCAAACATGGCTGCAGATGAGGAAACTAAATTGGAAAATAATTTATTTCCCTGTTCATGGCATATTCTAGAATATATCATTAGAGTTATGACTTCTACTTCCAATGCCAAGTTGTCTTCTTATATAGCTTATCCCAAGTACCCTGTTGCCCATTGCCTTAATTTTTCTCTTACCCTTTTAAGGAAACTCTCCAAGGTACTGAACTTTTACGTGGCTAATGCAGACGATGCCAGCAAGACAGAATTGCTTTTTGCTGCTTTGAAAGCCTTGAAGTACTTGTTTAGATTCATCATTCAATCTCGAGTGCTTTACTTGAGGTAATGGTAACTGCAGTAAGGCGTTTACACTCGGCTGGGCTCGGTGGCTCACCCTGTAATCCCAGCGGCTTGGGAGGCTGAGGTGAGTGGATTGCCTGAGCCCGCGGGGTTTGAGATCAGCCTGGGAAACTTGGTGAGACCTCATCTCTACAATAAATCAAAAATTAGCTAGGCGTGGTAATGCATGCCTGTAGCTCCAGCTACTTGGAAGGCTGAGGTGGAAGGATCGCCGGAGCCCAGCAGGTCGAGGCTGCAGTGGCCGGGAGCGGCCACTGCACTCCAGTCTGGGTGACAGAGTGAGACTCCAACTCAAAAACAAAAACAAAATAAAAATGTTTGATGACTTAAATATGCAGCTGACTGAGTGGCTACTTCTCTTTCGCTAGTGTTAATAGAATCGAGCAGTGTTTTCCCAGCACATGCCTTATGCACAGTCTCTGTATTCTCATTTTTATCAGAAGACCTTCTTTTAAAGGTAGTTTATTGTATTTTTTTTTTTGAGTTGGAGTCTCACACTGTCGCCCAGGCTGGAGTGCAGTGGCACACTCACAGCTACCCCAGCATTGACCTGCTGGGCTCCAGCGATCCTTCCGCCTTAGCCTTCCAAGTAGCTGGAACTATAGGCTCACGCTATCATGCCCGGCTAATTTTTGATGTATTGTAGAGATGAGGTCTCACCAAGTTGCCTGGGCTGATCTTGAATCTGCCGGCTCAGGCAATCCACTTGCCTCGGCCTCCCAAAGTCCTGGGATTACAGGCTGAGCCACCAAACCCGGCCTGTATTTTAAAATTATATTACATTTCTACATATTCAGGATTGTTGGGGCATGGAGTGTTCTATTGAAGGAACATTCCCTTACCAAAAATGTTTTGGGATCATAAACCCTGATGTCCAATACTCAAAATCATCATCAAACCACAGAAAGAAAAACTTAATGAGTGAAATTAAAATGCACTTTTCTGTTGATGATTCACTAGATCAGTTGCCCTTTATAGTATCAAAGCACAGCAGGGCTCTCATTCTAGACTCAGGATGAAAACTGTGTAAAATGAAAGATGAGAGTGGTCAAGGATCCCCTGACATTAGCTACGAGTTGCTTCTTTGAACTTGACCCCTGACGGCCTGCTTATGGTTACTTTTTCCTTGATATTTTCTCATGAAAGTAGGATGTGAGTGGAAAGGAGACTGGCAGACTACATTCTCCAGTTGCTTAGATTTGATGGACATGTCAGTGTACCCTGTCCGGGTTTGCAGTGGGATGTCACCTGGCGCCCCCTCCCCTGTTGCTCTTACCAGAGCTGAAATCTCCCTTATGAGCTCAGTACCTGGCTGGAGTTTAACTCTTTGTTTGTTAGACACGAAGAGGAAATTATAAATTGCCCACAATACAACATTAAGGAATTTGATTTTAATCCCCCAGTCTCATATTAGCCTCTTTAAAAAAAAATGTAAGTCAGCCAGGCTCGGTGGCTCAGCCTGTAATCCTGCACCTTGGGAGGCTGAGTTGAGTGGATTGCCTGAGCCCGCGGGTTTGAGATCCGCCTGGGCAACTTGGTGAGACCTCATTTCTACAATAAATAAAAAATTAGCCTGGTGCACGCACCTGTAGTTCCAGCTACTTGGAAGGCTGAGGCGGAAGGATCTCCGGAGCCCAGCATGTCAAGGCTGCGGTAGCCAAGGGGGGCCACTGCACTTTAGTCTGGGCGATAGAGTGAGGCTCCAACTCAAAAAAAAAAATGTAAGTCACATACTTAGAGTGCCAGGTGTTGTGTTGGTACAGGGATCTCAGAGCTTGTGGACCCCATGGTGATCAGAAAGGCAGTCCGAACTGTACAGAGAAGGCCTCTCCGGTAGGTGGCTTTGTGTGAGCGGAGACTCAAAGATGAGGAAATAGTTTGAGAGATATCAGGGCAGGGTAGTCGGGGAGCAGGACCTGCCAAGTGCAAGGGCTCTGTGGGGCACCAAGCATGGCTTGTGTGACAAGTAATGAGAATCCAGTGTCACTGGAGCATAAAGGACAGAGAGAGAACAGGAGTGTCAGACAAATGACAAACTGGTGGGTGGAGCCTTGTGGGCCAAAGTGAGGAGCTTGGATTTTATCCCAAGTATGGTGGGAAGCCATTGGGGAATTTCAATTAGAGAAGTAATAAAGCCCAGCTTACATTTTAAATGAGCATTTCGTCTCCTGTGTGGAATATGAGTGATCGAAGGCTGAGAATGGAAGCCAGTGGTCTCTTGGCAGGCTGTTGTAGTTCAAGTGTGAGTTCTGCTGCTCTATCTTGGATGCAGATGGAGATACTGGGCTGATTTGGAAGGACGAGCCAATGAGACTTTACTGTTGGATTTGATAGGGCGGTGAGAGAAAGGGAAGAATCACAGATGACTTCTAGGTCTGGGGTGGATTGTCGTGCTGTTTGCCAGAAGTTGAAATACTGGGAATTGAACAGGAAAATCAAGCGAGTCCTGTTTTAGGTATGTTAATTTAGAGATACTTGAAGACTAAATTGCAAATAAAGTTATTTTCTAGTTCTGTAAAATGGATGAATTTAGAATTACCAACAACCTTCTAACTGATTAATTTTCTCATTGTAGTTCATTTTGGGTGCCATGTAAGTTAGAGGTGAGTGGTGGAGACTAATTTAAATGTGTTGTGTTTGGGTATGTGCATAAAATCTGAATTCAAACCATCCTGTTTTCTTGACCAGTTGGTGGTAGAATTGTCACCCATTGTGTATGCACATTTACTACTCATGGGGACCTTTGTGTTTCTGGGATATTGGCCAAAGACCTCTTGATTTCTACATCTGAGAAAGAACCACCCTTGTGTTGGTGGACAAATCCTGTGGAGACAAGCAGAACTCTTTCATCAAAGCAAGCATGTGTCTTGTGTCCTGGGAGGTCTCATCGTAGACCAGGTCAGCATCAGCGTGGGCAGTTCAGTGGAGAGCATGGAGACTCATATTTTTGTAGGCTTGGTTGGGTTCAGAACTTTTCGGGGTTGAAGAGCTTCTCTAACCATTGTGTGAATCCTCAGCTCAAGTGATTGGGTTTAATTAGGTGAGACGGACTGATTGGGGGGAGATATTGAAGGAGAAGAGGGGAAAGGAAAGAAGGATGCCAGATGACAGAATGTGGCAAGTGTGGTATGTCCAGGAAGTTCGCTGGAGCGAGTCCCCTGCTTATTGGATTTCCTGTTGATAAGCTGAGAGAGGCGGGCTCACCTGTTACCACAGCAACCTGCTGCTACCCTCTCCTGTCTGCTGGAAATGCCCACACGCCACTAGGATGGAGAACATCACTGAGACTGTGGCCCTCCAGGCAGCTTCAGAGAAATTCCTCTCAACTGGCTGATCAGAGTTGACCAACTGGAGAGCTCTGTGTTAGGGCTTTGTTTACGAGTTGCCACCCTGCTCTTGTCCAGGTGGTCATATCTTGACAGACCATTGGGCTGATTCCAAGTCCCCTTGAAAACATCTTGGAGCACCCCCATGACATCTCTCTGCACGGTGGAACACTGAACCTCCAGCATTGTTTTTTGAGGCAACAAATCTATTTTAGAATTTCTTTTCTTTTCTCTTTTTTTTTTTTTTGAGTTGGAGTCTCACTCTATCTCCCAGACTGGAGTGCAGTGGCACATTCTCAGCCACCACAGCCTCACCCTGCTGGGCTCTGGCGAACCTTCCACCTCAGCCTTCCAAGGAGCTGGAACTACAGGCATGGGCTGCCATGCCTGGCTAATTTTTTATTTATTGTAGAGACAAGGTCTCGCCAAGTTGCCTGGGCTGGTCTCGAACCCGCGGCCTCAGGCAGTCCACTCACCTCGGCCTCCCGAAGTGCTGGGATGACATGCTGAGCCACCGAACCTGGCCTAGAATTTATTTTCAAGGTGCAAAATCTGACTGCTTCTCTCTTTTTCCTGTTAAGATTTTATGGCCAGAGTGAAGATGGAGATGAATTTAATAACTCAATCCGCCAGTTATTTCTCGCCTTCAATACACTGATGGACAGGCCTCTGGAGGAAGCTGTCAAGATCAAGGTCAGCAGGGCAACATCATGGTAACTCTTCTAAGGCTGTTGGTGTGGCAGTTCTGGGACAACTTAGAATAAGCCATCATGGGAGGGAAACAGAGCAAATCATGGTTCGTTGATACCTTATGAATTTCAGTATGACTTATAGAAAGCAAAAGAAAAAGCCCATGTTTAAACTTCTGTGGCCATTCGTATTTTCAAATGTCAGTTTGCAAGATAGCCCTTGAAAGTGTACTGAACCCTATTTGACCCTTTGGTTTCAGCATACATCTCAATGCTGTTACAGGTAACAATTTTTTTTCTTGGTTTTCCATTCTTCCCAGAAGCACAAAGTCGCCACCATCTTTTGTTATTTTGTTATTTGTTTTTTTGAGTTGGAGTCTCATTCTGTTGCCCAGGCTGGAGGGTAGTGGCACACTCATGGCCACCCCAGCATCCACCTGCTGGGCTCCGGCGACCCTGCTGCCTCATCCTTCCATGTAGCTGGAACTACAGGCGCATGCTACCATGCCCAGCTATTTTTTTGTTTATTGCGGAGTTGAGGTCTCGCCAAGTTGCCTGGGCTGGCCTCGAACCTGCGGGCTCAGGCAGTACACTTACCTGGGCCTCCCAAAGTGCTGGGATTACAGGCTGAGCCACCAAGCCCAGCTCATCTTTTGTTATTATCATTAATTTTTTTAAAATATGAGATACATAATCCCTGAAGACTCAAGTTTAAGCTGCTTTATTATTATTATTATTTTGAATTGGGGTCTCACTCTCTTACCCAGGCTGGAGTTCAGTGGCACAATTATGACCTACTGCAGCCTCAACTTCCTGGGCTCAGGCAGTCATTCCGTCTCAGCCTCCCAAGTAGCTGGGTCTACAGGTGTGCACTACCACACCTGGCTACTTTTTTTATTTCTTTTGTGGAGACAAGATGTCGCCATGTTGCCGAAGCTGATCTCGAACTCCTGTGCTCCGGTGATCCTCCCACCTCAGCCTCCTAAAGTGCTGAGATCATAGGTGTGAGCCACTGTGTCTGGTCTGGCACTTTATTGTTATTTATTCCTTGCTTTTTATGGCAAATTTGAGAGGGAGATGTGAAGAATTTAACTATCTAAGAATTTAGATAGAAAAATGAACTCCAAATGGACAGCACCTGCTGGCAGTATAAAAAAAAAAGCTACACCCCCTGCATTTTCAGGAAAAAGATGTTAGGAGATCACGTGTGGCAACACCAGCTTTTCTTTCTATTGTGAAGACATCTGTATCCTGTTCCCTATTTAAGTTTCAAATAGAGCCTTTTTTTTCTTGGGAATCAAGCAGTAAATTCTGGATTTGTCCTGCTTGGCAACTGAATTTGCCTTTGGTGTCTTTTCTTACAGGGGGCAGCTTTGAAGTACCTTCCTAGCATAATTAATGATGTCAAACTTGTGTTTGATCCTGCTGAGCTCAGGTAAATGGCAAAAATAAATAAATAGTTTCTTGACTTGAACAGAAAAGCAGCTTTCTTGCTTGACCGAACCCTGGGCTGACGCACATGGCTTTTAGTTTTCTAGCAAGTATTAACTGTACACCTTTTGTGCTCAGTTCTATAGAGAATATAAAAACATACAGAACCTGTTCTGAAAGAGGTTTGCATTTTCTCTGGGGAAGTAAGACATGCAGACATAAAATTAACTACAAAAGACAGTCCATAATAACATGCTTCCAACCCCATACCTAAGTATCCCAGGAATGCAGAGTCAGACTGTGATGCACATTAGCGTGGTGTTAGCCTGGAAAGGCATTTAGCACAAAGGCAGGTCTGGAAGGCGATGATGGACACAAATGTGCTTTGGTGGTGTATGCAGTCAGCTCCAAGGAGATGCTCCCTTATGGGCGAGGAGTACAGTCTCCCCGGCGCTGCCTAGACACAGCCTTTCAGGTCATCTGGGAGCTTTCCAGAGAAATCTCTCCATGCCCACATCTCAGAGTGGAGGAGAAAGGTTTGTAAAGATGCCTTCAACTTGGCGGAACGGAAACACTACTGGGGTTTCTCTTCCAGCGTGCTTTTCTGCAAGTTCATTCAGAGCATTCCTGACAACCAGTTAGTTCGCCAGAAACTTAACTGCATGACCAAGATCGTGGAGAGCAGTCTTTTTCGGCAAGCAGGTAAGTCTCCACCAGAAGCCGCTGTGTACCGAGATGACAGTCCCATGTCTTCTGCAGCCAACACTTGGTGTTTTTTTTTTTAATGTCACTGATGTCCTCGCCAGTTGTTTATTGGTATGTAAAGACCTGCTGGGAGACCGGTTTTAAGGAGAAACTGACATGAGCTCAGTATTTCAAAAAGTTCCTAAAAGAGCAAAAGCATGTGTTCTTTAATCTTTAATTGGAACAATCAGTAAGTGGTTCATTAACTAGAAAACTTTGTCCTTAAAAGAGGAATCTCAGGCTGGGTTTGATGGCTCAGCCTGTAATCCCAGCACTTTGGGAGGCCGAGGTGAGAGGATTGCCTGAGCCCACGGGTTTGAGACCCGCCTGGGCAACTTGGCGAGACCTCATCTCTACAATAAATCAAAAAGTTAGCTGGCCGTGGTGGCACGCGCCTGTAGTTCCGGCTACTTGGAAGCTGAGACGGAAGGATCACTGGAGCCCAGCAGGTCGAGGCTGTGGTGGCCAGGAGCATGCCACTGCCCTCCAACCTGGGTGACAGAGTGAGACTCCAACTCAAAAAATAAATAAATAAATAAAGGAACCTCAGAAAGTAACTGGCAAGCAGGAAAAAGCTGGTATTTTTAAACAAATTCATCTTCTTTGACCTATACTTACATTGCATAACCTCAAAATCCCAAAGGCAGGGAGGCAGTGGTGTCCTGGACCCCATAAGACCTGACTCAGGAGAGCTGGTTAGGCACATCTCTTGTCAACTCCACATTCTGTAATATCACATTAGTAACTGGAAATTGACCGTGATAGAAGTGCTTACACCAGGGAAATTGGCAGACACTAGAAAGCAAGGCTTTCCTTGGGGGGGTTGAGGTAAGGGGAGTCAGATTACCAGCATGCCACTGGTGAGGGGAGGGAGACATGGAGGGGAAAAAAACTCTCAGACTGATAAAATATTTTTAGTTCCTTAAGGACAGTCAAGCAGGCAACCACCCAATTTAAATCACTCTGCTCTTGTCCCAAAGCTGATATGAGGAGGAGGTCCAATACCTGGTCCTTCCCCATAGACCCGAGTTTCTAGAGTGGGCCAGCTGTGAGAACTTTACGGGGGGGGGGCTTTCACCAGTTCAGGAAGTCCCAGAGAGTGACCTCGTTGTATGTATGTATATTGCTGGGAAGTCTAAAGACCAGCAGGGCTTCTCAGAAATTGGACATGTTGAATGGATTGTTGGGAAAACTCCCTGACCTTGCCCTTGGCTAGTTATGTAGCTTTGGACAAATGCGCGACCTTCTGTAAGTCTCAGCTTCCATGTCTGTGGAAGGACTTGAACTAGTCATACCAGTAGATTCTTTTGGCCAGTTTTTTCTGACTCTATGAGTTTGCCCTTAGGAATTTTAAATGTTCCTGAATGTAGTTGGAGATGGAAGTAGTGAGTGCTTCAAAAAGCCAGTGAATGTTCTTAAGTAGAAAACAAAGTATTACTAAACCTCTCGATATGCTGTGATCATCTCTGCCTCTTAGGATGCAGAAAAGATAATTGAGACAATAAAGATGAGGTGTTTGAGCTTAAGAGCAAGCATGCACTAGATAGTTCTAATTAGAGAACGTGCGATCATTGTTAACAGTCATTTCTGGGCCAGGTGCAGTGGCTCACACCTGTAATCCCAGCACTTTGGAGGTTGAGGTGGGAGGACCACTTAACGACCAGGAGTTAGACCAGCCTGGCCGGCAGAGTGAGACCTTGTCTCTACAAAAAATAAAAAATAAAAACCAGTCATTTCTGTAGTGTCCAGGGTATCTGGACTCAGCATGAAAATGTGTTATAATATTGAAGATCCCTGTAAAAAGACATAATAGATTATCCCTTACTTTCTGTGATCCACGCACTTGCAAAGACGAGCAGAATATCTGTGAATTGTATTGAAATGTACCAGGGAAGCTCTATATTTATATGCATTTTATAGTAAATTTATTTCATGGTGAAAACATTTCTGAAAATGCACACGACTGCTTAGTTTCCTTAGTTTCTCATGACTTTGCTTGCAGGTGTTGGGTTGACATTTTTAAAAGCTAGATAAATTGTTAAATACTTTCAACATCTAAATCCTCACAATTGCCCATGGGAAGGTTTATTTTCTGAGTCTGCATAATCCAGATACAAGGGCAAAGTTCCATGCCTAAAACCGGGTGCACCTCAGTGGCCCGGAGGGGCTCCATCCGTGTGGGGCTGGTTCCAGAGCCCAGAGCTACTGGGGCAGCCCCCTGAGAGTTGCAGAAAGGAGACAGGCGTTTCAGCCTCTGCAGCGTGTGAGCTGTCTGCATTTTCTTTCCCAGAATGCAGAGAGGTGCTGCTGCCGCTGCTGACAGACCAGCTCAGCGGCCAGTTGGACGACAACTCCAGCAAGCCTGACCATGAGGCAAGCTCACAGCTTCTAAGCAACATCTTGGAGGTTCTGGACAGGAAGGATGTGGTGAGTCACGTCATGGCTGATGCAGCAGGGAGCTCACACCAGCTCCTTTGCACTGGACAGGAGTGTCTCCGTGGCCTTCCTAGTCTCTGCCAGTTTCACACCCGGGTATTGGGGCAGGTTGTGCCCATTTTTGAAGTGATCAGAGAGGCCAGAGCCCCCTGTGCAAATCTAGGTCCAGGAGAAGTCGGCTTACTCCTGGGCCCTTCCATTGGGTGATTTTCTGGCTCGTCTAATTTGCTCACCATTGAGATCCCTGTGAGTCCTCTTAAATTTGTAGGCCTGTGGAGACCTTCTGTTTTTCTACAGAAACCTCTGCCCTCTTCTCCTCTGGTGCCTGACAACCTGAGAGTTCTGAGCTGCTGAGACGTTCCCATTTTCATATTCTCTCTGGCACTGATGCTTTCTCTGGAATCTAGTGGAAATCGTGTTTTCTTTTCTTACTTTTTTTTTTTTGGAGTTGTAGTCTCACTCTGTCGCCCAGACTGGAGTACAGTGGCTGCTCCCGGCCACCGCAGCCTCGACCCGCTGGGCTCCGGCGATCCTTCCGCCTCAGCCTTCCAAGGAGCTGAAACTACAGGCGCACGCTACCACGCCCGGCTCGTTTTTGATTTATTGTAGGCCTCACCAAGTTGCCCAGGCGGGTCTCGAACCCAGGGGCTCAGGCAATCCACTCACCTCAACCTCCCAAGGCGCGGGATTACAGGCTGAGTCACCGAGCCCGGCTGCAATCGAGTTTTCTAATCTTGTCTCTTTCCTGTGACCTAGACCCCACCCTTCCCCAAACCATGGGGGCTAAACCTGCCTGGATTTCCTCAAGACAGCCCCCAGGCCTACTCACAGCCCACATGCAGGAGACCGGAGGACTTTGCAGAATGTGTTCCGTGGAGCCGTTGAGGGCTCAGAAAAAAATATATCTTGCCTCAAACCACAGTCACCACCCCACGGTGGCTGCCTGGCACAGGTGTTATCTCACAGAACAGGAAAACCACTGTTTTTGCCCAAGCCCTCTTACCAATATCTCTAGATTCTGTTCTGCCAGAGGAGCACTGTTATCTTTTCCCATAGCTGCATCCTTGGCTTGGCTGTCAGGGTCCTTGGCTTGGCCACAGCCTCACATTTTGCCTGCTCCTGGTTTTCCGGGGCATGTCTGCCTCTCTGCCCATTCACGCCTCAGCCTCAGAAGTAGGCATGGACACCACTGCTCTCTTTGGCTGTCCTCCCAACTCCTGCCCCACCCTCCCCCCGGGACCCTCTCGCCCACTTACTGTTTGTGCTGTTCATTTGATATCTGTTCATTATAGGTCATTTTTCTTTTTTGATTAAGTGTGTTTATAAAAACCCAAGTACAAAATGGAATCTATTTTCCCAAGTAATGTTGTGATTGGGATTTAGTTCCTAACCAAGGACTTGATAGCAAATGCATAAATGTGAATCACATCATACACAAAATAATTTTTTTTTTTTAGTTGTTTGTAGAGACAGGGTCTCGCT